ACAGCATGAAGATTCTATGGTGACTGATATAAGCGAGTGAATGAGCCTTGTTCAACGTATCTATAATACAGTATTCATCAAATTGAACTAACGGCAGAAAAAGTGATCGAAGCAATTTATCAAAAAAAGATGAATAGGTCGGACGCACGGCCAGTTGATGAAAAAATGCTGCAATAAGTTCGAGTGTTAGGTAAATGAAAATGTGTTCTGTGAAGCGTGAAAGCACGATTTAAAAGCTGCATATGTTAAAGAAGATTTATTAATGGGAGGTGATAAGTCGATAAAAGGAAAACTCATCAATGTTTATATGATGGCGAAAAACACTTAAAAAACCATTAGACTAGAGAAGATTTTCATGAGGTTCTAAACACTGGATGCTAGTGATCTGCACATTTCTAAAAATGCTCCATTATTTCCAGTAGAGAACTTAAAATACCAATTTTAATACTTTAAAACAACAGGATCAACCAGCGCTAGTAACACTAAAAATGACAAGCCAAAGTAGCACCAAGCAAAAAAGGTATTTCCGCAAATCAACACTTCACTGGCTAACGAGAATCGACAATGACATGCGAAATAGTGATGGAAAGCATTTCAACAACAAATGCGCTATCTTGCGCTAACGCACTTTTTGCCCATAATGTTGGAGATGTACCCTACTTAATCGAAATAATCAAGGCAATTTACAAAACACCGCGTGATGCAGGAATATGTGGAGGTGGATTGTCAACGCATAGCGCAAAACCCTTACCATCATTCTCGCCAAAGATGGTGTGCTCGTAGAGGGCGAACTTCTGCGGGTTATCATCAATATTGAAACGAGCCAGAAGACTACTTATTACTTGACTCGCAGTCGTCGATCTGTGGGTAAACGAGAAACATAGCAGCGCAAAGTGAATAGCAAAATCAAATGGTATAAAATAAAAATTGGAGAAACTACGCCGACAAAAACAACGTCACTACAAAACTGATTCCGATCAAAGAAGCAGTTGTTAAAACAGACACATTGTGCTTGAAAGAGGTCATGCAGTTCAGTAAACTGAATTATTGAACGAGAGGGAATACCAATGGAAATACGTGGAGCCTGTGAGCGAAGCATACAAGCTTGGAGGTTGGTGTGACAAAAGAGAGAAGAAACATCATTCGACAGAATTTCTATTTGTTGGTAGGTAATAATTAGATATCAATCCGCAGGAAGGCCCCAAGACACCATATCAACATAATCTATTCGAATTGGGAAAGACGGCAGAATCGTTGAAAACGAATAAAAAGGTACCTCCATGGGCGTCTAATAAACGAAGGGAGAACTGTTAAGGGAGGTGAAAATGACAACCATAGTTAATGGCTTAAAGTTCGTCTACTTTACTATTGCCGACTCCAAAGAAGACATCTCTAAAGAATTTCGGCACAACTCACGCAGGGGAAAAACTTCCAGTGCTCAGTCCATGGAACTCCATGTTCATTTTTCGCAACATCATCTAAATAACGTAGTTTCTACAAACAAGCCTAAAGGAAAATGACTTCAGAATCCGAAAAAAACTTGTAAACTCAGCTGAGTTCGCACGCCCAAAGTTCGAGCTGCATGTTATTATTACAGACCGAAGACTTCATTGAGGTAAGAAGAGATGCAGTGAGAAGCAACTCCAATGAGGAGGAAGGAACTCACAAATGGACATGCAGGAGCTTTGAGCTGCCCCGAGGAAGGCGGAAGGAGGTGATGCGACCGATAATCTTGCCGCGCAGTCTGACAGAGTTGACACACTCCGATTGTTGTACTGCGTCGGATATCTCCTCCCCGCTAGAAGGATCGTCACCATCATCGTCCCCACCGCCAACAATGTCGAAGATGGAGGGCGGCCGAGCTGCGAGCACCATGCGCACAGGGCGAATGAGATTGATGTGAACACGCACTTGACCCTCGCAATCGCCAGGCTGCAACTTGGGGGTCTGAGTAAAAGGGAAAGAGAAAAAGCCAAGATTACAAAGGTGTTTCAATAACGTTTTGTCGAGTGAGTTTTGCTATGACATCAAAGTTACCAGCAAACTTATCCCAAATAAAATAATTTTTAAGTTCCTGTACAAGGTTCCAAAAATTGAAAAATGCCAACATCACAAGAGTGAACAAAATGCTATCATGGTGTTATGAACGACATTAGCGTTACTCATTTCCAGATGCAAAGCGCCAACGTAACGGCTTAGCATAGTTTGAGCATTGCGGTAAGATGATAACGACAATGTACACCAGCACCAAATCAGCTAGTAAACAAATAAACACTCGAAAGGAAAGGAAACGCCTTTGTAGGCAAATTTCTGGAAACCTTCTGATTTCAAAAATTCAATGTAAAACAAAGACCAAGAGACAAAAGAAGCGGTGGTAAGTGCTACGGATTTGGATGCCTAAATGACATGAGGAGACATCATGGTAATTTGCTGCACTGACTAAATTGACCTTCTAGAAACAAGACCGATAGACAGATCTCGTACCATTTTGGCGCAGAGGCCAAAGTCGTTGGTATTGAAGATGTCCAGCCGCCTTGCAAGTTCTATTGGCTTCCAGGGAAGAGCGGCATTGCGGGGACCGATGGTTACCTTGGTATAAGTAATCTCTTCCACACCGGTCTGATGTCCGGTGACAGCAGCCAACTTAGTGGCTTGCATGCGACTACTCATGACCACCGGCGGGTCATCAGCGGCGGCCACGGCCCCACTGGAGGAGAGGGATGAGGCGACGGCAGGACTTAATTGCCAAACAGAGATGCCGCGCTCACGAATGTCGCGTTGGTCGAGGCTGCTGATGTCGTAAGTACCGCCAGTGACAGAGGCGAGATTCACAGCCGTAGTGTGGCGGCGCGACAAATTCAAGGGTTGACGATTGTAGTGGCGACGACGCGGCTGCAGCATCGATTGGTGACGAATTGTTCTCCCCTGAAGTGATACTGACGGAGGCAGTGGTTGTACCAAAGGCTGTTGCTGCTCTACCTTTGAGCTTTGATCCACTCTCAGGCTGGTTTCAGCTTAGTGGAAGGAAAAAAACTGTAATGCAACTGCGCAACACTTAATTACAAATGCCGGATTAGAGTACATTCTTCAGGTAAATATTCCAATTGTGCGTAGCAATTAACTTCATACAAAACCCATGGCCCGATAGTCATGAACCTAGCTAGTTAGTCACTCATTGGGACTAATAAGAAGATGGACCTAAAATTGCAGCTTAAACGGCATTTTTCCTGGCAGATCAAAGAATATCTCCACTACAAACCTCTTGTACAGTTTAAGCACGCAGATACTCAGCCATCCCTGCGCCGAAATCACAGCAGTTCATTAAGCATTGCGAAACCAAGAGGGATAATAAGGCTCAGGTGTCAGATTGATTCTGATTTAAGCTATGCATAAGTAATACTAAAAGTTGCAATCAAGATTGAGGAGTGCCACAATAAAGGCGGTTGCATAGGACGAAAACATCGAGAACCGAAATTGCGACTTGGCATGACGGATAATTTTATATGCAGTGTAAAGTAGATTGGTCATTTCTAAGCAGGAAGCATCTGTGTCAAGGCACCAAGTACGGCGCCAGAATCAATGCGATGAGAGGAATGCAACCAACTTAGTAAATGGAAAAAAAAACTGTTAATCAAGTAAATGCGCATATTTTAACGAATGCGGCTTGTCAGAATAACCTATCGCCTAGTCTAAAGAAGGCTGAGGTGAGTGTTCATTCATGGCATCGTAGCGCATACTGGCAGAAGTGACAAGGTCAATTACGTACACGCGGTGTAAAAAGGACGGCTAGAATGGGGCTTGACATCGGATGCAGAAAAAAGAAATAATTTATAGTTCCTGCTGACTTCACTACACGCAAACAGCGCAAGCATCTAAATATTTTCAAAGTAATGGAAGCAATACGTAAGTTAATAAATCTTGGCGAAGACTTTATTTATGCTCAAAGAAACAAAAAGTTGGGAACTTAGGAAAAGCTCAGGATATGGATAACCAGGGTTTTTGTGGAGTAGATAAAGTGTTGGTGCACCGAGCTACCAATTCAAATTGTCTCGACTAATGGAACCAAAATGCAAACTTTCCAGTGATGTACAGTAGCATGTCCGGAGAGGTTCATTAAAACACTGAACAAAGAAAGTCGCTAACGGGTATTTAAGTCGTTTTGTCAGGAAATGAGAACATTATCCCAAGGTGAGCATGTAGTCTTATCGAGACCAAGTAATGCAATGCAAAAGGAAACCCAAAGAGCATCTGGCGGATCTAAAGTTTTAGCCTCGAAATCGTTTAGATGAGTAAACTGACTCTGGAAAATGGGTAAAAAAGGTTGCGATTGGGATCGCAAGATAGACAGTGAAAGCAAGTAAGAAGCCCTACAGGTGAAGAGACCAAGTCGGGTGTTTGGTAACAGGGTAGGTGAAGAGAATGAGCGGCGGTGCTTGTCATCGGCTCTGGCAAAAACCGAAATTGTTCTGGTCTCCGGGCCCATTGATACTGCCCGTCCCATCGCTGCTGTGGATGGTTCGTGTGGTTGTAGCACCTCCTGCAAATTTACAAAGAAATTGTGCAAGTCATTGAGTGCTACCTGCTACACATTCGCACCCCTCATTTCAAAATAGACTATTTTGAATCTGAGATATAATGACTTCAATCCCAAGAGACACCGATAGACCAATGCAGTTAACATATTATGGCAACATCCAACCAATGTCTTGAATAAGACCACTTTCGGGAAAGAAAGAACAGCGGACTAGTGCTCGTTAAGGGCAGATGTTATACCTAACTTTTCAACCTTTAGTCAGTTTATTTTGACTAAAACTAGATGCTGTATAGAGAGAAAAATAGGCATTCCATCCCAAAAGGGCGTAATTTATCAAAAAACGAAGAAAACAAACCTGGGAAGACGACCTGGAGGCAGTTGGAGTGTGAAGGTCCCCACCCTCCAACTTTTGTGACGCTTGCTCAGTGACAACACCATCATCAAGGCCATAATTACCAGAACCATCACAGCCAAAAACATCAGCGTTGCCGACATTGGTATGAGCAGGAGGCGGGCTCACCTCGCATGATATGGTTACTTTGTCTTTGCACAACCAATGACAGGTCATGTGGCAATCTGAAAGATAAGAAACAAGATTTATCCCAAAATTTGAAGCGGACATTGAATAAAAATTGCTATAGTGAGCAGCTAACGAAGTGGACATACTTGCATGACATTTTAGTACCCAAAGGATAGTCTCTTGCACCAACTCATCATCACCATCAGGATACATTACAAAAAAGTACAGTGAGCATTGTGTTGTAGGTACCCGGAAATGGTCTAACGTCAAGACCTTATGAGTCGACAGTTAAAACGAAAACCACCGTCTCGCACTCTCTAGCATATAGATAGACAAGAAGAAAATGCAACGATGGTTTGCTAAAATGGATGTCGAGAGCCAAATGTAGGTTTTGGTGGCGTCTACAAATTAGTGAAGAGTCAATCAGTCTTCCTCGTGCAAAAGTAAGACCGATTTAAGTGTCTTTTAAGCAATCAAATTAGAGAAGATTAATTCCGATTTCATCTTACAAAGGAGTAAACTTCGGTACTTAATTTTTGCTGATCGGGTTAGAGGTAGAAAATACCTTTCATTAACAAGAGGAAAGATTGACAGCGTACCAGCACAACGTTGGCATACGGGTCCCCAGCCAAGACCCCAAATTGGTTGATTACAATAATCGCAGAAAGTGTCCAACTCCAAAGGGATGGCACAAAAGGAATGTCCGTTCATTCCATTCAATGCGCTGCGTGGAAACGCCTCTCCACTACCACCAGATAGCTTATCGAGCCGAATAAATTCGGCTCTCACGGTCTCCGGGATCTCCGTGTAAGCAGAGAAACGCCTCGCTCCATATTGCTGAAGAATATCGGCACTCGACTCTGGCAAAAGACGTTCGGTGACCAAGATTTGGTTACTAAACCCGCTTTCGGGTTGCAATAGTCGAGGGAGGGTCATGTTTTTCCGGCGGAGAGATTCCTTTCTGGGGAGGACCGTTGCTTGGGGGTGTCGAAGGAAGTTGACAAAGGTGCGGCGCAGGCCATCTAGTAAACTAGTGCCACCTCCACTTGAGCGTTTCTTCAGTGTACCGTCGGATGCAGGACTATCCAATGCATCCATTAGGAGCTGACCACATCAATCTAACAGTTATATCACAAAAAAAGCGAAAACTGCATTCCAAATGGCATTGGTTGTGAATTAGCGGTACATAAGTGTGCGTAAACTAAATCCCATAAATGTAGGAATCGGCACAAAATACTATGTGTAAGGGGCAAAACATGTAGAAATTCCTATTGGGGCCACAGCATTCAACATAACACTGTATAAACAGACCTACCAGTGGTATATAGGGTAAATTGCATTGTCTCTAACATAACACACCACAAAGCACCAACAAAATAATCATAAGCTACATGATGTGCCGCAAGATGGCATGATTTCTTAGGCATATAATGCAATGAAGGCAATATCAGCACCTTGAAGTAGCGAAATGGAGGGGAAGATGGCATATGAATGCAGAGTACTCACAATTGGGCAACTCAAACCAAGACGTAATCGCGTGCAAGGTTAAAGGGAAAACCTCTAGCAGGAGCCAATCAAAAATTGAGCTCTGCATGAAGTCTGCAAGCATGAAATAACTGCCTTAATGATATAATAATCACAGCGAACAAAATTTTGTAGTATTAGCATATAAAATTAGATCAACAACAGAACTCTAACTTTGAGACAGGATGCTGGAATTCTTGACATACAGAAGCGGTTACGCCAAGAGGTCGGCCACAAGACTACAGTTCGTTGTTGTACAATGCATTTTCAAGAAATAAAATGAGTTATCAGTGCATTTGATCATTACAAACTGCACGTAAGTAATTGACGTTGGACGTAACAACTGGTAGGAAAGCCGTCAAACATCTAGTTTATCCAACCTCCTTGTATGACTGGCATTCACCTCGACGGTCATCCTGCTTTTATTGGGCAAGCTGGACTTCGGACCAAGCCAAAGTTTCCCATTTGCTAGTCTCCAAATGCAAATACCCAGCTACATGCAGTGCCCTCCGTTACCAAATGGGGAATCTCGAACTATTACAATGACACCTTGCTTGTAAAACTACATATATTAAAATGTCGATTCCGAAGACGACCAACTCGCTTCTGCTAGACTGTCTAGTTGGACCTCCAAACACTTAACCAAGACTCTCGGCACAACGCCTTTTACAATTCTCTGAACAAAACATTCTTTTTAGGGTTTTAGATAGTTCATTTATAGCGTCCTGAGGCTTCCCACCGGGTAGGGGAAGAGAACAGGTGGAGTCGAAAACATGTATTGCAAGGAGTGCAAAGTAACTAAGTCTAGGCATTGTCCGAAAGCCAGCTCACGCGTACAAGGGCTAGTCGAACCTTACAGTAACCGCCAGAGATTAGGAGGTCACATAAACTATATTACAGCCTTGACGAGACGAACGCTGTGAGTTGCGTACTTTTGTAATAAAATGGGTCGATTTAATGCACGTTGTAATTTAAAAGTGAGAATTTAGCTTAAATGGTTAGCTGGAGGGGAGGCGGTACTCAACGAGCGTAGACTAAGAAGCAAAATTTTTCTGCCTTTGTTAATGTGGCATACCGCATAGCTTGTACTGACAACGCCCAGCAATATAGCTCGAAGACATCATGCGCATAGAAGATAGCTAATAAATGGGGTGGGAGATTGTTTCGAAAAGTTTACAATTTCTTTAAAGCTCTCGACACACGCTAATCGAAGATAAGTCAGTGTAAAATGAGAAAGTGTGGAAGAGTGGTGGTTGAGTAAATCCCGAGTTAAGGGACAATTTGAGGCTCAGTTTAACGATTGCTCAGTAGAGTTTGACAAATAAGGCACTTTGGGCTGCATGAGTTGCGTTTCTTTTTCACAATATGACGCTTGGAACCTGGATACACATGTTTGCACATCTTCATTCGTCCAAAACACGTATTCAGCCAATCTTAATGCATTCTCATGCCTTGTAAACGGTTTCATGGTGCTTCAAATGTTACTTCAACCATGTGTCATCCATTACTTTAGATTGAGATAAATTTTAAACTGTATCCCGGCATCCTTATCGTCATTGGTCTGTGCCTTGTACACGTTGCTGGCCTTTGGGCCATGCTCAGGCCCATTTGCTGTGTCCTCTTTAGAATACATGCATTCAGCCTCATTGACCGCCTTTTTCCACCCGGTGGGAAGTCTCGGGCACTACAACCTAGACACAAGGTTCCTTTATTTGATACAGAATTTCCAAGTTCTCGAAGGCATCCAGGTAATCCATTTTACTGAATTTGTACTGAATTAATTACAATTAAGTTAGGCTTACATGCATTGTGATTAAATACAATGGTATCATTTGCACAATAACACGATCAAGAATATCACTTGGGAATGTAAATCTCAATTTAAATTCCAAATGTAGTTCATTTGAACTGTTTCGACAAATGCAGGCGCTAACCGAATTTACTAGTTGGTGCGTTTTTGGTGGTCAGTTGTCGCGTATGTGCCTCGAAGTGTCCTAATAGGAACTTGCGAAAATTTTAAAGGTTTACTTCGACGTATTGCATTAGTTGTATTTTTGGTGGTTCATATGTAAATTTGGGTAAATGATACAAGGAGGCGGATGGCAAAATCGGAAGTATCTCTGGTTTTGTGGTTTCAAGCGGTAATGAAAGCGGGCAATCTATGTCGCGGTGTCCCCGAGCGAGCAATTTAGCAACCTCTGAATTTCCGTAAAAGCACTAGCGCCGTTAATAATTGTTTAGCACTTTTATTCTTACTCAGAGGATGGAATTCTTATGTAAGGCGGTAGGTGATGTTTTTAAAACGCTCTGCACTTTATCAGATTTTGTTAACAAACTACATTGGTTAGCATTATTAAGGAGACTTTTAATTCTTCGGCCCTCGCAAGCATACCCATTGAACTTCAAATACGCACTTCACAAAGTGGCGGCCTTTTTTACGAGTGGAAGATAGAATCCATTATTGCGTGGTTGTTATTATTATCCAGTGGTTCTGTATGCATTAATTTTCTCCAACAATTTTGTTGCAAGAAAACGTAAGTTGTCATGGGGTTATGCCGATGTTGCATTCTCTCGACGCCTTTTTATAGGGTAATTTCGTGGTTGGACAGAACTGAATGGGGTCCTGCGCTGTATTTTGTTCTCTAGGCATCGTCTATTGCAAATATCATCCGATTGAAACATGTTTAAGTCACGTATTCTACAGCGCAGTGCAAATTGAGAACTGATTTAACAGAGTATGTACTATGTTTTTGTATCGCATCTCGGCTGGCCTAGTTGATGCCTTAGCTTGTAATAAAGCCTGACGCCTTTTATAGATGCCTAATGTTGGCTGTTCGACTCTATATAAAATGAACGAAATTATGAAAGTGCTCTTCATTTTAGCACAATTTGGGTGGGTACAATGCGCATCGATCTCCTCACTGGTCTCATTTTTGTAGTTAATGATGGAAATGTTACATGAAGCAATAGTTGTGCAACCTCTTTAGAGGAAGAAGTGTGTATAGTGGGTCTGGGATTGCAGTGACTGGTCTTGTCATAATCGGTCGTCGACTCAACATGGTGAAGGAGGTCAATTTCGTTATTGCTGAGGTTCTTGGGAGGGTCTTGATTTTTATGACGTGCTTTGCTTTGAAATGAAGAATATTAGGTGCGGGATAACTCTTTTGCAAAGTATACTAGATGTGTACTAATGTTATGTCATGGATATGCGGTAGTTTTGCCGGCGAGACGTGTTAGTCGGTGCTTGCCGACCTTTACCAAAAGCAACCAGGTCGGATCTCGGAAATGAACTTTATTAGCTCCATTGTAATGAGACATGGTCGGTGGTGAGTGTTATTAGAAGTCTCAGGCTCCTGTTTTGATCCTGTTTAGTCCTTCATCGCCAACATATAGTCAAGATCTTCAATATGGATGTGTCCGTCTGCTAAAGTGGATGAGCGACAAAATGTTGTAAGTGACATATTATAATCTTGTTCTAAAACAGTAAAATTGATCAATTTGTGTTGACATATGTGATTTTACATGGAACATATAATAATGCTTTGTTGGTATTGCTCTGTAAAATTCTAGCGTCAGCGGGTTTTATGAACGCACAAGTCGTTTGATCGTTGCCTCATCGTGTTGAGCATGCAGAGTAGGGACAATACCTCTTTTACTGCTAAGACTGCACAACTTTTAACAGAATCGAACAAATCTACACCGGTTCAACGACGAGTTTCTCAACATCTGACTGTTATAACTCAGGCAGATACCTTGTGTGATTCTGGAATCAATGTAAGTCAGTGTCGTGCTGGGTGCTTTAAAAGTTTCGGTGAAATTGTTTACTTTTCCGTACAAAATTATTGTAGTTGATTACCTCTTGGAGCGCAGGTGGTAAAACTAGTAGTTTCTCGTGCCTTATGTATTTTATTGAATGGCAAGCTGTCACTGGTTCAATCATTCTATTGTTTAAGGTCTGCTTTGAATGAGTGCCAAGGGTAATCCTTTAAATCTCAGTCTACTTATAAAACTCGATTTTTCAATGATCGCATCGCAGTTTGTAAAGTCTCTGTGAGGTTTATTGTATATCTCTGAAGTCGGAATTAATGAAGCTTAATCATTCATTGTTTCAGACATGATTCTCTACTCTTGTTGGCCAGAACTTATGCTCTATCGAAGCTTGATTTTGTTGTGGTTTTAAGCTTTTGCTTTTCCGTCGGTGTCATGCTAGCAATTTTATGTTTCAGTCGTTAAACTCCAAAGGGACCAGGCATTCTCTTCAAGCAGAATTCCTACCAGCAGAAAAGATTGACGAAAGACCATTGCATTGGCAGCTGGAAAGTATCGGCGAAAACTTATCTGAAACTATAAAAGCATATTTGTCATCCGATGCCGTTCCAAAAATTACTGCATCAGATCATTTGGAAATTAACGATAAGAATGATTTCATCAAATTTACCAACTGCCTAATCGGCGGATTAAGGTATTATTGCGCTTGGCTATAGGATTTGATGTCCTACGAAAGTTTGCATGCTATTCACTTAAACAATTGTCTATGAGTATTTTACTATTTTTCAGCTATAAACAGTTTAATGAAATATCTAGTGTACGCTAACATTAATTTCAGACACCTTCATTCTGATCGACATCACATCTTTACTTGTTACTATGGGATCAAAAGACTAAATAATTAAATTCATTTGGAGTCGCAAAAATTATCTTTTAGAAACTACATGGCTGTTGCTGAGGCAATCTCATCCGAAGATACTAATTATGATCAGATGGTATGGTGCAATTTTAACGAGAATGGGTTTGCTTCGCTTATATTTCACAGCACTAACCAAATCTCTTGAGTCATGCATAGTTGCTGATATAATGTGGCGTCATCATTCCTTCTATTATAGAAAATGAGGCACGCAACTCTTAAGTGGAAAGTCGAAACTGTAAGTGCAAATGTCAGGGGATGTTTTTTGCTCTTAGCTATCAACTTAGCTTAACGCTTAGTGTAGCCTCTGGGTTTTTGGAAGTTTGCTGTGGATGTACTTTTAGATATGCTATTCAGATGGATTTAATTTATATGATGGTAGGCCGAGGATCATTGGAAATCCTGTTGTGTTTGCAGAACTCGAGTGTGTCCAGATGAATCCAACAAATGCATTCACGTACTGATAAAACTCCCACTTCATATTTTGGCCACAAGGGGTAATTTGTGTAAGAAGTGGATAGGAGATGAGTTTTGTAACTGGTTCTGCTAAACTTCGCTTTGGGTAATGGACCTTATTGGCGTGCGACTTGCTGGAGGAGAAAGTGCAAGTTCCACATCGTAGGGTGTAGTTTTAGGTTCTGAGTGAGGTTTGTGCTTGTGCATTAATTGAAGTATTTCGGTCGGGCACTCGATTGCCTGCATGCGATGCAAACTTTTTTATTTTAGGTAAGTAGACTACTTCAAGAATACGAAGACATTCTCAAGAAAATTGGAGGCAAGTCCAACTTACTGTTGATCTCCGTCTCACTTACAACCCATCCCATTTGTTTATGCTTCACCAAAAGAAAAAACAGCTAATTTTTCACAACCTACAAAGTGCGTCACTAAACTGGTTACAAAAAGCAGGTCACTTAATGTTTCCATTCACAAAGGCACCTTCTACGCGTGGATAGGAATAAAGGCGTGCAAAAAATGGGAGTTACACAATTCTCTTCTTGAAGTACTGTAATGGAACTGACTGGTCATGGGATGTAGCCTTAGTCAGTTAAAACAACAACAACAACAACAACATAAGGTTTGTTCCAAGCTATTTTGCTTCTGGCATTTTGGTTAGACCAACGCATGTAATCGGCCAGGTTTAATTATTAGAAAATAAGCTCATGCAACTCGAGCTATTTTTTAAGACTGAGGATAATTTATCTGCTGTCAAGTAAGCTCCACTCTATGAGATGCGATTAGAACAGCTAGTCAAACTTTTGTGTGAAACTTGTTTCCAAGATATGCCATTGCTCCCTTACTTCACTAGTAAGCGTGGGCTCAATTTTTTATAAACAAAATCCGCAGCAGAAAATGGATTGCACAACGCCTTGTAAGGCGAATAAATCCATAAAGAACAAACTTTGTATCTCTACAAGGACTCCTGGAGCTTCGTGACGGTTGACACAGACTGAGAAGTTGAGTCGTTCTAGTTTTTTTATTCTATGTAACTACCACAGAAGCCTTGTTGTATATTTTCCTTTAAAGCGTAATGATAACTAACACAGCTCAGTGTTCTGAATACAAAAGTCGAAATTTTGTATGCTCCACTTACAAAACCGGTTTGGAATAAACTTTTGATTTGACTTGTTGATGTATGTGGACCACAACTATCGGAAAGTCTTTGCGATATTTTGGGGACTTTTGAACCATGCGGGGTGAGATTTGTGACTGTTGTGAGGAAGTGATGTTCGTATTTGTCTTACAATTGAAGGACAGAATGCCTTAATTTTGCAAGCGAAGACGGTTCCACTACTTGCAACTCCAAAGAAGCATTCCCGTTCGCTCAACATTTTACCTCGCAAGGGGGTAATGGGCGAGGCGCCTGTGTCCCAGTCGCCGCTCCTCCCAGCACTGCTGGCCGATAGGTCACGCATGCGTGTGATCGAGGGCCAAATTTGCGACCTCGCGGGTGCCCTTCAACTGCGCCTTAAGGAGAAACTCGATGGCCTGCGGTTTGCCTCCCATTCCACCAATTATAAGGTCAAAATCAGCATCTCTCCCCACGAGACAGACAAAGGTGCCCTCATAGCAAGTCTCACAAACCTTTCCAGGCTGTCTCCATTTGCGGGACTGACGAGCAGGCCAGCTGTTTCAAATGCAGTGTTACATGAGTGGGTGTTGAATTTCCACTCTGAATCCACGCACTTTTTAATAGATAAGCCAGAAGCCTTGATCCAAGCCTGTTCCAACTCTGAAACATGGCGTTTCTCTTCTACCGAATGTGTGTTGCCTGTGGTGCCCGGAGCAGCCCTAGTAACTGATGTAAACCGACTTGCTGTTTTAATGTTCTTTACCGTTTCCTATTTAAATAATGAAGTTGGTGGGTATGAATTAACTGTTTTACACATAATAAACAGGAACAGACTCATTCCATGTCTCGTTTTAGGTGTTAAAAATACTTCAGTCTCGTGGTACAATTGGACAGATAAATGTAGCAGACGTGTTTCTTGCCTCTTGTTCTGAATTTCTCATTTATTATCAGTAAGCATTATCACTACCAACAATACGAGAACAACAACCAAATATGGCTTATTTTAAGGCATCTGCAACTAGAATTGGTCCGTTGGTGAAGAAAGGTTCCTTATTGCTATTGGACTGTGGAGGTGTATTCCTCCCAGATGTCACTCGGTATACTTGTATCTGAATCGAGAAGACGTTTTTGGTTTAGGATGGTAAGGCGCGCAGAGTTGCACACAGGCGCATGGTGTGCTTTTTCGCATGTGCATCGAATTTTGCGACGCACTCCAGTTTTGGAGCAACTCCAACCTACGAATGCACACTCACTACTCTAGTGACGACCGCCTCACCTCCATCCATTCTGTTCGCCATGTTTAAATACTATGGCGGATGAATTAAGTTTTTCATGAAACGCCGCTAAGGGACTACTCAAACAGAATTTATTTCATACAATGTACATTTCATGCTTTTTTTCTAAAGGTTATTTCATCAAAGAAAAACCGAAAAGTTTTTGAGCTATCACCATTCCTAACGTCGGAGCCTCGGTTAATCACCATTGAACTCTCTGTACTGACGTCACCCTACATTGAAATTGAAGTCGAATGGCTGTGAGTTTTAATTCCTTTGAGAAAATTCCATATGAGCCTAAGTGACGCATTTACTGTCTCTTGTTGCTTTGCTTGGTCTTCATGTGCAGACAGTCTTCGTTGTTAATGTGTCAGATAACTATTTCTAAAATATGCTACTTTACTTTTAAACCAAGTTCCTATACACAAAATGGTGCTCGTTTTTCCCAGGCGATTCCAATGTTGCACGCGACAAAATCTTACACCATCAGCACAGAGTAGTAGTTGAGTCGCATTATCTTGGGGCGCCGCTGTTTGTATTTCAAGCGCAATAGGTTTGGACATTAGGACAAATAAGCAAATTTGGTCTCAAATATACTTTCAATATAAACTTACTGGTGGAATTGACATTTGTATACCAAACTGAAGGTACTCGCCTAGGCTCTTCTATTTTGTAAGGCCGCAATGCTGGCTGAGAGATGTTATCAGTGGGAAGCGGATTTAGTACCTACTATGTTCCGACATGCTGCTGTAAATTGTCAGCAGAAATGCTTATAGCAGAACAAAGGAGCATAAGTGGAAAGGTTTTCGTCAATATAAGTGAATTTCTTTCTACATTGAGGGATGGTAATGCTGAAG